TGGGGACATGCTGCAATCACGTATATGACTTCTCCCTTTGTGCTTTCTCTCCTTTTACCACAATTTTAAAGAAGAAAGAGATTAGTTTTTTCCTCCTCAGTAAATTCCATCTTCAACAGGAATGTCATGGTCAACATTTAACAATCAGCTGTCCCCCATTTCCCAAAATGCATTCAGGACACACTTTTCAGTTTAGTCTAGACAAATAATAAGACAATAAATTAAGTTTTGATTTTCTGCATTTGTTGATTTTCAAGGTGTAAATGCTTCCACTTAAAATTAACCAAATATCATCGTGAAATCAAGTACAAGCTGGCTCCAATATGTCCCTGAATTCTTCAACATCAAGGTTGTCCTGGGATAGGGAGGACATTTCTTTACAAAGGGCATCTCTTTTCTTGATTACTCTCCACCCCTACCCACCCCTCACTATTGGTGCTACCAGAGAACTTTGACTCAGCTGTGAAAACTGATGCCAGTGAGGATTATCTATACTCTCCAAACACCTGCACCAAAGCAGGGCAACTTAGAAGTGGTATTAGGAGAATGAATATTTGCTGAGCTAATGATGAGTAGGTCTATGTTTCTCTGTTTTTCTCCATGAAATGATAATCCTCATTCTTGTACAACGGATAAGTAGGAATAGTTGCTTATAATAAAATAATGTTTCATCTCTGTATAACCAATCAACCAACAAGCTTTAATTTAGCACCTACTACGTGTCAGGCATTACACTAAGCGATGGGGATACAAAGGTAGGCAAAATTAGCCCCTGCCTTCAAGGCGCGTACATTTTATCAGATGAGACAACATGTAAGTAACTAGAGACATAAGAGATACATACAAAGTAGATAGAAGTAACCCTAGAGAAGCAACATTAAATAGTGGATCAGTACCCAGCTGGCCTCTGATTACAAAGGATCTGGGTTCAAACTTCTAGTTTCCCCCAGATAATTTTCTAAGAGCATATAAGTAGCAAAACTGTTGTAGATCTATCTTGGTAGAAGGCATTTTAAACTGATGAAGGCACTAACCTCTCCTCCTATACTCCCTCCCCAGCCAAAAATCTGCATAACATTTCATGAAAGTGAAAGGAATGTAATGGCTAAAGGAAGGGTCTTGGGTTTGAATTTTATCTCTGCCAACTGCTAAACTATGTGACTATAGTTTACATTCTTAAAAATTGAGGACACCAAAGAGCTTTGGTTTATGTGGGTTATTTCTATCAATATATACTGTATTAGAAATTAAAACTGATAAAACTTTAATTTATTTATTCATTTAAAATAATCCCATTACAAGATCACAAATAACTTTTTAATAAAAAAAAAACCCTATACTAAAAAAAAAAAAGATTAATGCGATAGGTGGCTGTGTTTTACATATTTCTGCAAATTTCTTCCAGGTCTGGCTTAACAGGAAGTGGCTAGATTTTCCTATCTGCTTCTGCATTCATATTGTCGTGACATATTGTTTTAGTTGAAGTATTTGAAGAAAAAACGTCTAGTTGGAAAGCAGGGAGTATTTTAATAGACAAATAAAGCTTTCGTGTTATTATGAAAATAGATTTGACCTAAATCTCCGTCAGGGTTTTGGGGACTCCTAGGGGTCTGTGGAACCATACTTTGAGAACCTCTGGTCTAAGGCAATAACTTATAGGTGAGTTGTTCTTCTAAATGGAAGGGATGAATTTACACACCTGGAGTTCCTTATACCAATGAAATCACAAATTCTGATTACCACCACCATGAAAAATTAGACTGTTTCATGATTTGCAAAGTGCTTTTCTTGTTTGGTTCAGCAGTGCAGTATAATCAGAAGACTAAGATTCTTCCCTTACCATCTCTGTGGCCTTGTCGAAATCTCTTAATCTCTTTAGGCCTCATCTGTAATACGAGGGGGCTGAACTACCTGATTTTGAAGGCCCCTTCCAACTCCAAAATTCTATGACTCGATACCTGGCTTAAGAAAACTTAACCTGCTAACACTTTTTCAGTTTCTTACCCAGGGAAGAACCCTAGGAGGGAGAATTTGGGGGAAACCCCTCTACCCAGCTTGGCCTGAAAGCCAAGTTCAAAAAGAAATAAACAAATTCATTCTTTACAATTCAAGAAGCATTTAGTAATTGCCCATTTATTCAAAGGTATTGTGCTACGTGGTAAAGATACCAAGAGAGATGCTACTCAGTCCTTACCTTTCAGCAGCACAAAGATATTCAGTAATAACTGTTCGCATTTACTAAAGGTTTTAAAAGAAATGACCAAAATTCCTTTAGGGTTTGTCTGGTCTTACACTAGTCTCAAAGGCCTTGAATGTGGGTGGGCAGGTGAAAGAGACAATGACTTTGACCCCTGGGCTGAATTTTCTCTTTTGTATTTTCCCCACCTACTCATGTTGGAAGAAAGGAACTGGGTTGTAATTGGAAAACTAAAGAACTCTAAACTACCCCTCCACCCCCCACCCCCACACACAGTGGTTTTTGGTAGTTTGGGAACAAATAGCTTAAATATGGATAATGAACCCCTGGTGGTCTGATGTCATTGTGGATTGAGCTCTGGAGTCAGGAAGACTCAAATTCAGCCTCAGACACCAGCTGTACGACCCTGGGCATTTAACTTCTGTCTCAACTGCCTCAAATTAAAATATGACTATAATGATAGCATCTACTTCGAAGGGTTTTCCTGAATCTCAAATGAAATAATCTATATAAAAAATGCTTAGGGGGTGGCTAGGTGGCACAGTGGATAGTACAGAGGACCTGGAGTCAGGAGGACCCGAGTTCATATCCAGCCTCAGGCACTTGACACTTACTAGCTGTGTGACCCTGGGCAAGTCACTTAACCCTGACTGCCGAAGGGGGGGGGGGAAGCTTAGCACAGTGGCAGGCTCACAGTAGGTGCAATATAAATGCTTATTTCCTTACCGTTCCAGGTCCAGAGGTTAAAATCAAGAGCACATAGAGAGTGTGCACCACAAATTTCAGTGAGGTATCTGATTGAGAAGTCCAAGCCATTGGACCAGAAAGTTAAAACCAAAGTAAATATGCCTGAAGTCATCTGGAACCAGGGATATATTGACAATTCTGGCAGAGACTACTGGGTGGAAATTGTACCTTCTATAGGAGGTCTTTCCTCAGCTCATGCCTTTTCTCTGGGATTACCTCCTGCCTATTCTGTATATGTCTTATATATATATATACATATATACATACATATACACACACACAAATATATATATATATATATATATATATATATGGAGTCATTTATCTATTACATCCTCCATTTTAGAATTTGAGCTCCTTGAGAGCAGAGACCACGCATTCGCCTTTCTTTGTATCTCTAGCATTTAGCACCGAGCCTGATATTCAACAAATGTTTAGTGATTGACTAATACATATGTTCCTTGTGATTGTGTTTTTCTACTCATGCTCATGTATTCTTCTTACTGATAGAGATGTATTTGTGGGAGAGTATGTCCCAAGTCTATGGGGCAAACTGGGCCTTGCTGCTGTTCTTTCTACGACATTTCATTAAATGCCTTTATTTTGAACTAACAGGGTCCTCTAGCTCAGAGGTATCAGACACTTAGCTCACAGGCTAACAACATTCCTGAGGGCTGCTGAAAACCAAATTAAAATGTAATTGGGTAACATCTAAGAAAATAAATACAAATACAATAAAATATAATATTGTATTTTTAACTAAATCAATATGCAGCCCTGAAGGGATTCTTTTCTACATATGAGTGGCCCTGTTTGTATTTGAGGGCACTCTCTAGCTAACTTTCAAAGGTAAACATATTGGTGGAGGCTCACCAGGTATAGTTTTGAGGGACTGCAGAATCAGAAAATACCTGGAACATGGAATAGCTTTCTCTGGGAAACCATCCTATTAGTTGGGAGGAAGCTAAGTAGTGAAAGTTTTATTACCCTGTTCTATGAAATGAAATGGAGACTCAGAGAGGTTTAAATGACTCATACCAGGTCATACAGTTTGAATTGCCTCAGAGTTTGAACCCACAATTAGGATGGTGTTTGAACCTATCATTTCTGACTCTTAGACCTGGCTCGCTTTCCACTGAGCCACAGATAGAGGTAAATATGCTACAAAAAAATAACACAAATGTCAAAGGAGAGTGGTATGAGAACTTTAAGGAGGGAGATATCAGGTTTGGTACTCTATCCACTGTGCCACCTAGCTTCTCTGAACCTCAGATAAAACATGCTGTTTCCAGATCTATACAGCCTTCCCAGAGCATCCAACCTGGAGAGAGGGAGCTAGGCCTGACTGGTATTCTGCGCAGTGAGCAGACCTTCGGGACAAATCTAAACTGCTTCTTAAAAGAGAAGGAAATATAGGTTTTAATGGAACCTCTCTCATTCCTGGAGCATAAATTCTTTTCCTAGCCTCATCTATTAAAACACTTCTCCCTCTTTCTTCAAGGCCCAGCTCAACATGTCAGCCCCAAGATGAGACCTCTTGACCTTTTCACCCCCTGGGTCAGGAAGACTCATCTTTCTGAGTGCAAATCTGGCCTCATTTACTAGCTGGGTGACCCTGGGCAAGTCACTTCACCCTGTTGGCCTCAGTTTCCTCATCTGCAAAATGAGCTGGAGAAGGAAATGGCAAACCACTCCAGTATCTTTGCCAAATACATCAAATGCAGTCGGGAAGAGTTGGCCAAGGCTGGAAAACGACGGAGCAGCACCTATCTGGGGTTCACGGCCAGACCGCCTGCCCCTACCCGCTAGGACATGGCATTATTGTCCAATTACTTGTCCGATTTACTTGCATGTCATGGCATCACCTCCCTGACAGCAAGGTCCTCTTTGAGAGCAAAGGAGCAAACTACAACTTAAGTCACATAAACCCATGAGGTAATTAGGCATTTGCTCTGTAACTCCTGCTTTGTGGGTCAAGGGGAAAGAAGACTGGAAAACTAAGAGTCCCTTGCCCCAGGGAATCTCTGCCTAGGACCTGGGCATCATGGCAACTTACCGAGGGTGTTCTGTAGACTTGTCTCTACTGATCCCAGTCTTCTGGCCAGGGACAGCCCTATGCCAAACAATGAAAGGAGCAAAGCTTGCTCTGAAGTGCTCTCCACCTTTCCGTGCCCATATCCCTGTTTCTCTTAATGTCTTTCACAGAAGGTCAGAGATAGCTGTTAGAGGTTTTTCAGTCCAACCCCTTCATTTGGCAGGTGTAGAACCCCAGGCCCCCAAAAAGGAAATGTCTTGTCCAAGTTCACAGAGGCAGTAGAAAATTAAGGTCTACAGTATGGATCTCCTGCCTCCTGCCTCTGCTACCCGCCCCCACTCCCCTGTTACTCAGATGTTAGTAATCTATGTAATGCATGACCTTTCCCAAAGGAGTGTGCACTTTAAAACAGGACAGGCACTGTCAGGGCAATGTTTCGTACAAAGAAATGAATAGTAACAGTGGCATTTGAGGCATTAGTGGGAGGAATATTTTGAGAAGGGGTTCTGTCCCAGGTCTCTTCGCTTTGGGATCATGGAAATGCCTAAGAGATCATCTAATCTAATCCCTTTATTTTACATGGAGGTCTAGAGAGGATCAGTGACTTAACTAAGATAATAAAGCAAATTAGTAGTAAAATCAAGCCCAGATCGAAGATCAAGGCTAATGCTAAAAGACTGAGGATGACAAATAAGACCCATCATCTCCATATTGCCCCATGTATGGTAGGCTGGCCCACACTCAGTTTCGTTCCCATGCTTGGCACCACATGTACTGCACCTCCCCCCCATCCTTCCCTCCCCCTCTGAGACCCTCCCCTCCCTTCTTGCTGTTTGAAAACTTGAGAAAGTAAGAAGGGGGAATAGATACTTCCTTGCTGTTTTCTCTCTGACACCTCATTCCTCATAGTTTTGGTGGAGAGTAAGAGGCTACTTTCCTGTCCTGGGACTATATTTAAATAATACATTTCTCTTCCATGATACTTTACAGAAATTGGCCATACTATATCTGTGTTATAAGGAAAGGGCTCAAGAATTTCAATCATTCTGTTGTTGTCTAGTTGTCCTCGGCTTTTTGTGACCTTGTTTGAGGTTTTTTTCTTGGCAAAGATAGTGGAGTGGTTTGCCATTTCCTTCTCCAGTTCATTTTCTAAATGAGTAAACTGAGGCCAACAGGGTTAAGTGACTTGTCCAGGGTCAACCAGCTAATAAGTATCAGAAGTCAGATTTGAACTCAGGAAGATGAGCCTTCATGACTGCAGGGCTAGTGCTCTAACCACTGGACCACCTAGGTGCCCATTTGCATTTTACAGTAAGAGAAAACAATGTATAGCAAATGAGGGGAAGGAAGGAAAGAAAATAAGCATTTATTAAGCACCCACTATGTGCCAGGCATTGTCCTAAGTCTAAGCACTTTACAAATATCTCATGTGAAATAAGTGCTAGATCTGGAGTCAAAGAATATAGGTTTGCATCATGGCTCTGTTATTTACTGTCTGTGTGACCTTAGGCAAGACAATAAACCTTTCTGGTCTTGGCTCCTCACGAGCAAAAAGAGGAATGTGCTAAATGACCTTTTAAGATTCCTTCCACCTCTAAGTTGGGGTAAAAGCCATGCACCAATAAGGGGTCCTGGCCCCCAGCCAGGAACGAGTGCAGGTTAACACACCTGTTGGGTTTCTTCTTTCTTTCTCATGTTTGCTTTCGTAGTCTAAATATTAGGCCAGAGTTAATACTTATTCAATGGAAAAAATCTGAATAAAGTGATAGGGGAACCCTTCTTATCCAAAGGTATGTGGAGACAGTACTGTATTTATACTGGAAGGAAACAAACATTTATTAAGCACCTACTATGTGCTAAATGCTTTACAGATTATCTCAGCTGATCCTCACAACAACTGGGGGAGTTAGGTACTTTTATTATTCACATTTTACAGAAGAGGAAACTGAGGCAAATTAGAGGTCAGGTAACTTGCCCAGGGTCACGCTACTAGTAAGGATCTGAGGCTGGTTTTGAACTGAGGTCTTCCTGACTCCAGCCCCAGTGCTCTATCCACTGTGTCACTGGCTACTTCAGTTTTTGGTTACTAAGAAATCTTATCAGAAGGCCTGTTTGAGAGGCCAGAGCTATATCATGAATTTCTGGCAACTAAAACCCGATATCTGGATTTCATCGGTACAGGCACTTCCCTCAGCAATGTAGATTTCAGGCCATCCATCACTTTTCAGCCTTTACAATTCTTCCATACATCTTCCCTTGATTTTTTCCACAAGGGGGTCTACCTACCTGCTATGCTGGGGGCCTTCCTCTGCATCAGGAGTTCTTAACTTTTTTTGTTCCATTCATTGTTTTAGCAGTCAAGTGAAGCCAGATCCCTTTTCAGAACAATGTTTTAAATGCATAAAATACAATACGTTAGGATTACAAGGGAAACCAATTATATTGAAATATAGTTATCAAAACATTAAAAAAAAAAACCTCTGGTTTAGAACCCTTGTTCCAAACTTCAGTGTTACCTGGATACCAGTGGAAGTAGCTGACAGATGTTGGGTCTTACCGTGGGTATGACTCACCTCCTTCTCCAGGCATTTGTCTCGTGATATCTTCTCCACCCACTTCTGTGCAGCTCTCAGTCGGTGATGTGTGGCAGCCTACCCATTTGCACCATGCATCTTTCCATTGTTTTTCAGAGACTGAGCTATCCCATGACTCAGAGCCACAGAGCATCCCCAGTAGACCCATGTAGCAAAAATATAAAACCCAAGTCCTCTAGATGCTGTTGTTGTTGTTTTTAATGGAACATACTTTTTGGAGGCTAGAACAACAAATATGGGATCCTGTGTATGCCAGTAGACACATGAGTGGGTCTATCGGGGTGGGGAATTTCGGCCTTGAGGCCACATGTGACCCTCTAGGTCCTCAAATGTGGCCTTGGTTTCCGTCAAAAGGCCACACTTGAGGACCTAGAGGGCCACATGTGGCCTTGAAGCAGCAGGTTCCGAAGGTAAAAGGAATGATCTGTAGAGCAGGGTATCAAATAGTCACAAATTCTTGAGTGGGGCCGAAACAGATTAAAATGTAATAGGGAACTCCTTAACAAAATAAATAGAAGTACAATGAAACATCGATAATACTACGTTTTAAAACTAAGTCAATATGTGGTCAGCAGAAATCCTTGAGTACGGAGTAATTGCCCCCATTTCTATTTAGGTTTGTGGTGACTCTCACCCAGAAGGAACTGTATTTGGAGTTTCAATTTTATCTGCTAAGCCCATACTTGCCACCAGAGGGCAGCAGATATGTTGAAAAGAGTAGGTTGAGCCTAGCTTGAGGGAAATTGTTAGGATTGTACCATTCCCAGCTGCGGATGAGAATCCAAAGTGTGCTAGCCTTCCAAGTGAGAAGGGAAGGGGGATCTGGGCGTGGGCCTGTGCTGCTTACCATTTTGGCCAGTTACTTACTTGGATGAGAGTATAAAGGGTGTTCTTGCCAGGCTTTCAGAAGACATCAAGCTGGGAGGGAGGGATGGCACCCTGGATGACAAGAGTCAGGATCCAGGTAGACCTTGACAGACTAGAGCAAGGGTGGGGGACCTGCCGCCTTGAAGCCAAAGGGCTGCCCTTGAGGACCTAGAGGGTCAGACGTGGCCTGCAGGCTGCTGGTGCCCCACCCCTGCTCGACAGCATAGAACCCTATCTAATGGGGTCAAATCATGTGAAGATTATGGGAAAAACATAAAATTATGGGTTCCGAAGTAGAGGAGAGAAGGGGGCGGCCATATAGCAATTTGACTGAAAGAGACTGGGAGTTTTGGTAGGCTCTCAATTTAATATGGGTTAGTGGTGTGAGCCAAGAAAATTAAGGCAGTCTTGGCTTGTATTACGAAGGGAAGGGAAAATGAACAAAGGGAATGAGCATTTGTTAAGCACCTGCTATGTGCCAGACATTTTAAAATATTATTTCATTTGATCCTTGTAACAACCCCGGGATAGAGATGTTATTTTTATTCCCATTTTACAGATAAGGCAAACAGAGGTTAAGTGACTAGACCAAAGTTACGCAAATAAAATCATAAGTGTCTGAGGCCGGATATGAGCTCAGGTCTCCCCGGTTACAGGCCTAGGACTCTACCCAATGCAATACCTACCTGCCTCTAGAGAGGAAGAGTGTCTACCAGTAGAGAAAGAATGCTCTCCTGTACTCTGTGCTGATCAGAGTATGTCTGGAGTATTGCGATCAAACATGGGAGCCAAATTTTAGGAATAGCATTGATAAGTTGGAAAGCATCCATAGTAAGGTGATCTGGATGGTGAAAGGAAGGTCTTGGGGCAGCTAGGTGGCACAGTGGATAGAGCACCGGCCCTCGAGTCAGGAGGACCGGAGTTCAAATCCGGCCTGGGACACATAACCCTTACTAGCTGTGTGACCCTGGGCAAGTCATTTAACCCCATTGCCTAGCTCCTCGCCCCCTCAAAAAAGGAAGGTCTTGAGATCATGTCATAAAAGGATTGGTCTTGGGAGGATGTGATGGCTGTGTCTGAGGACACAAGGGCTGTCATACTGAAGATGGATTGGACTTATTCTTCTAGGCCCCCTAGGGCAGAGCAGGAAGCAATAGGTGGGAGTTTGCAAGGTAAGTATTGGAGAGCAAACTTCCTAACAATTAGAGCCATTCACAGACTGAATGGGGCTGCCTCTGGAGGTAACAGATTCCCCCCCTTTGCTGGAGATTCAGGAAATTGCTGGATGACCAATTATCAGGTATGTTGTAGAGATGGCTCGTATGCAGTTTAGACCGGTAGGCCTCTAAGGTCCCTTCTCATGCTGAAATTCTGTGACTGTGACTATCATGCAGGGCTTCATGAGGGAGATGATATTTGAACTGAGCCTTGAAGGATGGGAGATAGAAATTGAACCAATGGACCGGGGGAGGGGGGGATTGGAGGGAGGATGAAGGAGGCTATTCTAGACTGGGAGAATATCAGGAGCAATAAAAACAGCTGACACATATTACATTTCAAGGTTTGCAAAACATTCTGCATAATTCTCATGCACTCTTTACAACAGCCTTATGAGAGATGTATTCCTTTTGCACTTTACAGACGAGGAAACTGAGACTCAGAGAGGTGACTTTGCCCATTGTCACATAGCTAGTAAGTGACAGAGGCAGGATTCAAACCCAGGTCTTCCTGATTCCAAGGCTAGCCCTTTATTCACTATATTATCTGGACTAAGCAATGGTATAGAAGGTGTGTTCAGGGAACAGGACAG